AAAAAAAAAGACAATGGTCAAGATTCGAAACCGTCGAAAATAATGGACGATGAGGTAAGGCCGAATCGTGGGATGACTTCAGCTTCATAAAGAATATGGATAAATGAACTTTATTAGTCTGATATCAGTTCAGGGTTTTTTATTTTTTATTTTTATTTTTTTTCCCCTTTGTGTTATAGTTTTCAATTTTGAATGATTATTATAAACATTTCATTTCACAATTGAATACAACATTCATGCCACAATAACTAACTGATACAATGAAAGGAAAATAATAAAGAGATAAATTTTTATATAATTTTTTTATCAATTTTGATGATTATTGCTCTTACTTAATTTATTAGGATTTATAATATTATATATATTTAATTATTTATTTAATGATATATAAAATTGAAAAAAAAATATCCATATATATATATATATTTTTTTTGATCAGCAAAGCATCATATGAAATATAAAAATATATATCCATATATTATTACCTATATGTATATGTATAATGAAATTTTGTGTTTTGTCATTTTTTAGCATGATTCATATCACTAGTTTCTTGCTATTCTATAAGATCTAACAGATCTACTCCTTTTATAATGAAGGATTTTTTTTGGTTTTTTGGGTGGTGTATGATGAAGTAATCTTTGGTTTTTCTTCAGAATGCATTAATTTGACAAACATTTTTCGTCTTTGTTTCGTGTAAAGTGTGAACTTGCTGAGAAAGCACTAAATTGGAAAGGAGGTATTACTAATTAAAAAAACTGCTCACTTGAGAAAGTTTAAGATTTCACTTTAGTTTAGGGTTATGTGCTCAGTTTTGGCCAAAATAATTACGATGTGTTTTTCAAAATTATATAATTAAACAGCAGAATTTATTATTAATATTTATAGCATTAAGAGTTACTTAATACCTTCAGCTTCTGCCGCTATAATTAGGAAAGTACATAGAGTAGAACTCTAAAAACAAGGGAATCCAGATGCCAGATTGGCTGGTGCATTGAAAGTGTTAAGACTTCCAGCAGCAGAACCTTCGTTCCGGCCACCAGCACCAGGGCCTATGTTGACCGGGCCACCACAGGGATTACCAAGAGCAAGGCTTGGGCTGAAGTTAAAGTTTCCACCATTAAGGTGGTTAGATCCTGAACCTTGTCCATAGTTCTGGCTTCCGGAACCAGTGCCAAGGTTACAGGGGGCCATATTGGTGAGATTGTTGGACAATCCCTGAACCCCATTTCCGAAGCCGCCGAAGTTCGACATTTTTCTTCACTCCTAACTTACAATCAAGTAATCTGAGTATTTGCTTTGTTGTCTTTGATGAATATTTGCTATCAACTAAGAACCTTATATAGACAATGGAGGACGTGATAATAGGAGTATCCATTAAAATGTGCCTGCATTATTGTAATGGAAACAAGCATCAGATCCTTTAACAGTTCAAAGAAATGTGGGGCTGGGGACATGGCAAATAAGTCATGCATTAAAATATTCATCTATGCATCTAAACCACATATTTCCATAGCATTTTTGTTTCTTTAAAAATGGCCTGCCTATTAATTGTGTGTATATGGAAAAAGTGATTATTAGCCATAAAATTAAGTTGTTTTAATAAATATCTTTTTAAAACTAATTAATTTTGAATGAAATTTTAGAGTGTTTATTGAAATTAGGTAATTTTAGGATAAGTGTTATATGATGTTTATTAATTAACAATTCTAGCTTACTAGGTCTTTTTATGAGATTCTCAGGTCTATTGTGTCTCCATCTAATATGGATGCTTATTGCCTAATTTGAATGAGTGTGGCAGCCTGGAAAAGTCTGCCATATACGGATATATAATTATTTTTTTTTTTATCAGCACGGATATATAATTATTACTCTGATAGAATTGAATCGTCCAAAGATAAAGAAGAACAAAGAATCCCTACTTCTACAAATTTTGGACAATAAATATAAAAAAGAAAAAGAAATTCAAGACTGCATATATTTGTTTTATAAGTTAAATTTATGTTTTTAAGGTTTAAATTTTAAGTTCAATACTTAAAAAAAATTTATGCATCAAGTTGATATAGAGATTGCACACTTAAAATGACTGCACAAACAATTAATTTCGATATGTGTACTTCACTTGAAAACCCTTATTCCCATTTAAAATAAAAAAGAATCTTGAAGATAATGATGGAGACAATAAAATTAATCGTCAATCACCTTACAGACTTGGTAGCAAAACTAGTCTTGATGATGGGCATGAGATCTTGTGTTCAAGTCCAGAATGATGATTTCCTTATCAATAAGGCCGAATTTCCCTGAACTTTAGTTTTACCGAAGTGGAGATGGTTATGAACTTTGAAAAATATTGGAATGGTTTTTTAATTTTATATATTTCAATATCCTTCTCTTAACTTTTCAATAAATTTTTGTTAACTGGAACTGATGTGAAACGTTATGTTAAAAAACAAAGGGTAACAAAAGATGACGTTTAGCAAAATATTAAAGCAGAAGACGGAATGATGATGTCTTCGAACGTTAATTTGCTGGTTGCAATTACTAGAGGAATGATTTGCACTACTTCTTAATAGAGGGGCTGATCTGTAACAGTTTAAGTAAAGGGGCTGAAGCTGAATTGCACTTTCTACCATTAAAACATCAGTTTTAACCAAACGTTCCTTGTAGTACCAGAGCTTTTTCTTTGGCCATCTTCTAGTATTAGAGCTTGATTTTTTTGTATTATATTAGTCATTCATTTTGCCTTCAAGGGTAGCTCAATTGGTTAATAATTTGAGATTCTAAATTAGAAATTTTATATTCAAATTTTAAGTCAAGTGAAGAGGGATATGAAAAAGTGGTAGAATTTTTTTTTTTTTTTTTGATCAGCAAAGCATCATACGAAATATATTAGCAACGGAGCATAAGAAATACTCCCAAAACAAAATACAGACCGGGGAACTCCAGATACAAACCAAAAAGCTACAACAATTAAGAACTCAAAAACTCTGAAAAAACCTTCAGGAAAAAGTGGTAGAATTATTGTCTTTTGTATGATTCATCATGAGATGTATTAAAAAAACAAAACGAATTATTATTTCATTAGGACATACTATCCAAATATAACGAAGCAGCATTTATTGATAGTTACAGCGTCAAGACTTTTAATACCATTAGCGTCTGCTGCTCTATAATTAGGAAAGCAAAAAACACATACACCACTCTTAAGACAAGGGAATCCTATGCCAAATTGGCTTGTCCATTAAAATTGTTCACACTTCCAGAAGCAAAGCCATTATTCCTTCCCCCAGCACCAGGGCCTATGTTGACAGGACCGTCACAAGGATTACCAAGAGCAAGGCTTGGGCTGATGTTCCAGCTTACACCACTAACGTGGCTACATCCGGACCATCTACATAGTTCTGGCTCCGGAACCAGTGCCAAAGTTATAGGGTGCAAACTTGTTGAGATTGTTGGCTAAAACCTGAACCCTACCTCCGAAACCGCAGAAGTTTGACATTTTTTTTTCCCACTACTAACTTACAATCAAGAAATTTGATGTTTGGTTTGCTCTCTTTGATGAGTATTTGCTGTCAACTGAGGTCCTTATATAGACGAAGGACAAGATAATCCTCTAAAACGTTCGTGCATTACTGCAAACAAGCACCAGATTCTTTGACAGTTCAAAGAAATGTGGGGTCTAACTATCAGGGACCTGGCATATATACTCATGCATCAAAATAGGTATGCATCTTTGCACTTTTCCCTAGCATTTTTGTTTCATTAAATAGCCTGCCTATTAATTAAGTATAATCTGGTCCTTGTGCTATAATTGGTGGGGTGTCGTTTAATTAAATTATTGTTCACTCAGGCAGGGAAGCCTTCGTGAAACATGAAAGTGTCATTAAGAAAAAAAACATTAGCAGGGGTTGGAATACCGTTTGGTTTGCCACTGCTGACACTATGGTTCTCAAAGAATGGAAAGACATTCAAGAACAGACATATAGAGGTGGCATAATTTTTGACCTAATACACAAGTATGCCCTTTGCTGTGGTTAAAGAACAGAGGGACGGAGAAAAATTTTTTCTTTGTCAGATTAGATGTTAAACCCACTTGATTAAATGAAATGGTAAATTGAGTACTAGTGTCTGTCTTGTAGATGGACCAGCTGGCATAAAGAGGAATAAGAAGTTTGATTGTATGTTATTTCATTGCTATAATTGTTTCACTTAAAGGAGTTTGTATATATAACTTTGAAAACCTCTTGTACTCAATATTTCAATAAATTTTTAGCTGTTGAGAGAAGAAAAGACACTCACTATACATGTGAGAGTTCATAAAAGATTTACAAATGGCGAGAATTGGAGTGAAAATTTGGATATGATAATTAATAGGCTGAGATGGCGTTTTGAGGAAAAAAAAAGTGTAAAAACTAGTTTAAGGGTTGAAAATATTTGGAATTAGAAGTTTGAGGACTAAAATTGACATTTAACCTTTTTTTTTTGGCAACAAGTGCAAATTAATCACGTTAGTTAAATACTTAAATAGGAGCCACATCAGTGTGAAAATTAACAAGTTTCTAACAAAATAGGGGATGGACTTTCTACAATGTTATACCTTCAAAGGG